ATCCATGTACTATAACATATGAAGAAATATCCAGATCCAAGATTTTTTAAGATCCAGTCAGGCCACTTCTACAAATAAATGTATAATAGTAAATTTTCCTAAATTTCATTAATGCCAGACACATAATTGTCTGTCTCAGGCATGCCTTCTTTCCCTTCATGCTGTCTGACATAATGCCTGTATGAAGGTACGGCTTCCACTTGACGTGATGAGACTTAATTGCAAGGTATGTGCAGGCTTTAATCAGCAGACTACAAAAGAAAAAAAACAAACCTTAATCGTCTTTCTTGTCCTTGTATGACTGGTCTAATTCACGTCATCATTTCTTCTTTCTTCATATGCTGTATGCATTTAGAAACAGAGACTGAGATATAAAATTATTGCAATTATTTTGCTTTTTTATGTAGTCCATATTCTTCCTTGCTTTGTGCTTATTTTCCTGCAGATTAGAGTATTCTTATATATTAAAACCCTATAATCAGCCACAGCCAAATTTTTACCTAAAGTTGTAGAAGTGCCTCTCCTCTGAAAACAGCTCTGAACATCCGGACGGGGCTGAAAGTCTTTGTGGGGTATTCTCTATGTTGTTCAGCACAAGGACATTGGCAGGGCATCATTTGGGACTCAGTCAAAGGATGCTCACATTTGGACTCTGTCAATCAAAGCCTTTGGGTCCGTGTGCTGTTCCTCGAGTCATTTCTTAGGCTGGAGGTCTGAAACGATTGTTGCAGCATGTTGTACAGTAACATTTGCATGGACATCAGGATGTAGAGTTTCCCTGGAGAACATTGTACCATAACTAGACAATCCATGTACTAAACTTTGCCCATCATTGCATTTAATTTTATATTAATTTTACATACACTGGGTCCACTCACACCTAAGATCCTAAAGTATAAGATTGTGAGAATGCTAATGTTTTAGCAAAGACATAAATTAATTCCTGATTGAATGATAGTTAGGTAAATATTCACATTTATTTTCTTCTTATTTAAAAAAGAAATTTGCATGCATGACAAGCCTGCACTTAAAAATACATACAGAACAGAATTAGGATAAGATACTGGATATATTTTGGTCAACCAAAACCTGGTTTGACTGACAGGCTAGGTTGAAAGGAAAGATGTTTAAAAAAGAGGTTAAAAAATGATTACCTTAACAGGTGAAAGATGCTCACTGCTTCAGCCAGACAGAGGACACTTACATCGTTAATTTTATTACCTTGTCAAGATGAAATGAAATAATAAAGGTAGAGAGGAAAAGGAGATTGATCTAGTTTAAGCAGTGCCATCTCAATCCGTATAGAATTCTTCTGTATTACAACTTGCTGTGTCTTGTACTGTTCCATGGCTTTCGGTTTAAATGGAAGACTTTTATAATGCAAATTCAGGCAGGAGTGATAAATCTCTCGCGCTCTCATGTACTGGGGTCCCCTGATGCAAAAAGATGTGTTCTCTCTCACTTTCTCGCATTCATACAGTCGGGCACTCTCTACCCCTCACTCACATTCACCCTGCTGCAGCATCGTGTTACACTCGCCCCCAGGCCACATGAAAAATGAATCAGGCCCAGGTGAGGAAGTAGTGATGGGTGGAGTAGGGTAAAAGAGAGAGAGACTAAGAGAGAGAGAGAGAGAGACCCCAAAAAAGTAATGCTTTGACTTTCCTCAAAAGCTTCTAGGTCACTTTAATTTGGGAGGTGATAACAGTTGCTCAGTTACCCAGACATGCATGGAGACAAAAGTACACATGTGCACACACACACACACACACACACGCACGCACACACTCACATACAGATACAAAGACACTTCGTCAAAGTGATTTCGGGATGCTGCAAAGTCAACAGATTCTTTGGTAGTAATATTCTATATAGTAAATTCTGATGCACGTTGGTTATTAATTGACGTCTATCTGGGG